ATATAGACCCTTCCAATCATCTCCATAGTACAGTTTAAATAAGTTGATTGAGACATATAGAACTAAGAGACCATTGGCAGCAAGTAGGAATCCCATAACTGCACAAGAGCGGAAAGCTGTAACAAATGCCTTCCCAATGCTTTTCCTTGCTTCCAGAGTTGTTCCTTGCATTGGCATATGTTGCGATTTTCATTCCAAGGAAACCAGAAAGGGCTGAAGTTATGGCCCCCAGAAAGAAGGCGATGGTGGTGAATATAGCATTGGCTAAGGCTGGTTTGCAAAGATTTTCTTTGTTGAAAGTGCAAGGCTCGCTTTCTGTGCTGAACCTTTTTACTGATCCAAGGAAGAGAAAAATGATTGCTCCAAATACAACCATGAATATGCCGAGGTATTTGTACTCCGTGAACAGGAAGGATGTTGCCCCTGCCAACATTCAACATAGTTAACATAAAAGTAACAGGACTGCTGTCCCTTCTTCTTTTTCCTCATTGAACATGCTGTGAGAAGGAATTAACACGTTCGACATATTTAGTTTCTCTTGTTGAATGTGTAATACTCAACTAGATTGCTAAATTAGGTTACTAGGAGCTCTACAGAGTTGACAGGAGTAGAAATCTCTACTAGGATTTTCTTCCTTAATTCATGTTTCTTTCAAGATATCTCTATTTTCCCTTTGCACCCCCCAAACCCCCTAGACACACACACACAAACACACACACTCTCTCTCTCTCTCTCTCTAACTCTCTACAAGCTAAAAAGAGAAAACAAATGAGTAAATTTTTGGCTAGTATATATGACTCTCAAGCCCCAAAAGGTACATATTTCCCACTTGGTATATATTGATGACTTAGCAGAGTTATCATGGACATGAAAGCGGTAACTGGAAACCTGTTATGTCAGAAAATGCAAGTATCTATTTGCATCCTTAAACCACACTGAGGATATCTCGACATCAGGAGTTTATTTTGGTTGTCAGCTATCAATCGATATGATAAGAATTAAATTTGAAAATAGATAATCATACTAAGATTAGAAGACAATAACTATTGGAAGATACATGGAACACGGTTCATTTAAGCATGCAGTTTATGGATTCGAATACAACACTTCAAACAATCTTCTTGATGAAGACAAAATGTGGGTCAGCCTAAAAAACTTCCAACAAAAAGGACACTTGACATGGAGAAGTCCATGGATAAAAGTAACTATAAATGTACATGGAACCTTTAACAATTACAGCAAAGCAAAAAGGAGAATAAGTTCATGCTTTGCACCCAAGGGCGTAGGCGCGTAGCCTATCGATCAATGAAGTGGATGAAAATCATAGGAGAACAGAATTCAAATCCAACATAACCAAAAAAAATATATATTAGGTGATTTCTTCTCATTTGCCTAAGCTTCTTATACCTATGTTGGTGGGAAGTAACAGGTACAGATTGAATAGTCGAGGTGCGCACCAATTTGCCCAAACACAACTGTTATTAAAGAAAGTAAAAATAAAGAAAGAAAAGGTTGATACTTTTCTTGTTAACTAGTACTAGTATGTTTAAGCTCAGAAATTCATGACAAAAGCAATCATGATAGCCTTTTATATATAAAGTTGTAAACAAATTAAAATGGAACAGGTTTAGGCTGAGAGTGAAAAAGAACACACCTTCAGAAATGGCTTTCTGAATCTCAGCACACTTGGCAACAGTCGCATCAGAATCAATGCCTTCTTCTTGTACATCTTCTTCAATCAACATGTCATTGCATCCATCTTCCAATTCCGACCCACTAGAGATTTTGACCTTTGAGACCAGAAACCACTGAAGCAGAGCAAAACCAATGCAAACAAGAGCAGCTACAGGTATCAGAATCTGTGTCAAGGCCTCGCTCATCAACCCCATGTCAAACTTTTCAACAGCAAAACTGAGCTACTTTTCTTGAAAATCTTCTCTTTCTGCGGCTATATATAAGCACACACAGGCCACAACAAAAAGGGTGTGCTCAGGTATTCTGACCTTCTAAAGGGAGTTTAACATTTATATATTAATGGTCAAATCACCTAGAATACAGCCATTGGTTACCGTTCGTAACAAGCGAGATTAGTAACCCGAAAAAGATAGTTTATTTGCTACGACAGATCAAAATACATTAATACACTGATATATAAAATTCTTTACACTGATTTGTGTATATAGGTCAAAACCAAATGGAGTTTAATATATGGTATGTGCCAAGTCCAAAACCTGCAACTACTGTTGACAACTTGACAAAGAAAATGTAACGTGGAACAAATAATTACTCTTTGGTATAGCGGGAGTCGAAGCTGAAATGGTTCGGGCACGTGAAGAGGAGAGACATAGATGCTCCGGTCAGGAGGTGCGAAGGTTGTCCATTGCGGGTCTAAGAAAGGGTAGGGGCAGGCCTAAGAAGTATTGGAGAGAGGTAGTTAGGCAGAACATGTCATTGCTCCAGATAGATGTGGAGGTCGAGGATTAGGATTGAAGGTTGACAGTTAGTAGTGTGTTCCTATTAGGCTTAGCAATAGTACTAGGACTATTTTTATGTTATCTTATCATGATTCTTTACTATTACATGTCGTGTCATTCATGCACGTTACCTTAATGTATTGTTATTACTATTGTTTGCTACTTGTTGCCTTATCTCCATTGTGCCTTGAGCCAAGGGTCTATCGGAAACAATCCCTATGTTATAAGGTAGGGGTAAGGTCTGCGTACACATTATCCTCCCCAGACCTCATTTATGTCGTTGTTGTTGGTAGCTTTGCATGCAAGGAAACCGGTGGAAAACTTCAAATTGGTTGGTTTGATTTACCGTTTTGTTTGATTTAGAAAATTTGATCCAAAAGACCCGCCCGATAAATACTTCAGGTAAGGAGCAATTGACAGGTAAATCAAAATCAATACCGATAGGAGAATTTGTGCACATCAAATTCTGTATTTATTAAATTTACAATTTTTGACTAACCATTGCATAATCATAAAAATGTCAAGTCTTCAAATTTTTTAGAATTAGATGGTTTAAATAGTCAAGAGTCACCGAATTCCCTTTTTAAAATTTTATTTATTGAGCCCAAATTACTTCATTAATAAGGTACTTGTAGAGTTTAACTATGTGATTAACGTCATTAGGTTCAACTATGTCGTTAACGAGATGTTATATAGTATACTGTTATGAATTGCTCATAATTCTGTCATATCACTCTTTAGAAAAACTTTTTTTGTTTTTGATTTTGAAGATGAAGCTCTTGGCATCAATTCAGTCAATTATTTATCGTTTTTTAATTAAAAAAAATTAGCCATATTAATATCGCTAGTCCTAGCATTTAATAATTTTCTATAGGATTCAAACTCCAATTTCTTGCGGGTTCATTGAAATCAGAGACATTCTTGTGAAATAAGGCTAAGTCAACCGTCATCTTGAAACTATGCAAGTAAAGCAGGTTTAGAATAGTCTTAGGGGAAAATTACTTAGCAATTAAGGGAGGAAACGTATGAACAATCAAGTTCACGTTAAAATCTCTTTGAACTATTCTTTTGATCAAAGATCCTACTTCTCCCTAGGATTTTCACTAATTAATACAAGATTATTCAGCCTAATTGAACGCCATGTCCATCAGTTATTTAGTTCCCATTTGACCATGGATTTTGTCTTCATTTTTTCAAAAAAGAAGAAAAAAAAATTGGAAACATTGTCTATGAAATATGATCATGTTTTGGGAGAAAAAACTCAAATAATTCCAAGTTTTCAAAAAGTGGTTTAGGCCAGTTTTTGGGTGAAATTTTTTCTTCAACTCACAAAACTTCAATTTCTCTTCAAATAAAATGCATGTCCAAACACAACATCAACTAGGGTTGTGCACGGATCGGATCAGATTTAGCACATTTCGGATTCGGATTTCGGATTCTAGAAAATGCAATCCGAATCCGATCCGAATTATATCGGATCGTATTATTATGCCTCAAAGTTACAAACTAATATGTATATTTTCTTTGTAAAAGAGGCAATACATTTAAAAAAATCATGTTTATGCAATTATGAGAGTGCTATGGTGCAAATATAGCTAAATCTAGCAATTGTAAAGGTAATAACTTGGAGGAAGATGTAAAGGAAGTACGGACTATCCGAAATTAAAGTGTAGTACTTATACATTGCCTAATAATTTCGGATCGGATCGGATTAAAATATACCAATCCGAATCCGGTCTGAAATCCAAAATTTTAATAAACACAATCCGAAATCCGATCCGATCCGAAATCCGAAATTGAATGGGCCGGTTTGGATTTTGGATATCTGATCCGAATGAACAACCCTAACTTCAACTTTCAAAAATTATTTTTCAACACAACTTCAAAAGTTCTTTTTTCAAGTTTCAATCAAATCTATGTCCAAACGCTAGCTTAACATTTTGAATTATTGTATGAGCCATGACGAATAACGGGCGGTACGCACAAAAGTGGTATTTCTTTGTTCTACCAAACCCAAAACTGGAAAACAGAAAAGTATAATAGAAGCATATTACATCATTGCAATTCACAAGATAGAAATCAGAAGTCAAATCTCGGTTAAATGATATGTATTCTCACCTTAGCTTATTCTTTAAAGTATTGCTTAGTATGGTACAAACATCATGTGCGAATAAGTAATTTTTATATTTACTCTCCAGCAGTTTCTGCAGTCATCTACTAATCCTTGTCAACCCTTTTTTGCATGGAGTGACCAGGGCAAAGCTTAGCCTGTTAATGAAAATCAGAAACCTAAAACATGAATGAAAATAGTGAGAATTGACCAACTGGCAACCCCCTCACCACTTAAACACCTCAACCCAAAATAACAACTACCCCTTCTTTTCTGCAACTTCATCCCTTGTTGAACAACTTGCAAAATTACACTGTATATATAGGACAAAACTATTTTTTACCTCTATATATTTAGTTTTGAATCCCCTTGACAAAGCCCAAAAGTGTAGCTTAGTGGTCAAGGGGGTTCAAAATCTTTTGTAAGGTCATAGGTTCAATTCCCACTAGCTACAATCTCTTTTAACTTTTTTCTTTTTGAACCCCCTTCGCGAGATCTTGCCTCCGCCACCGATGCCAGTGTACTGCCATTTGCCTTTGAGGTCCACTAACAAAAGCCAAAAGAACATCTCCCCAAAAGCTCAGCATAAATTAAGTTCATATAGTCATTATGAACTTAACTCTCTCTTGCTCCAACTCTGTTTAGGTGTATAAAACAACAAATTACTGATCATAATTTTTAAGCATTGCCAATAACAATTTCAAGAAGCAAAATTCAGAGGCATCAAATTTAACAGAGTTACAAAAGGCAAGGATCTTACAGAGAGCACAAAATGCTTTCAAACTGCAAGCTCAATTATTACTCGAACTGAGACCTAAAAGGTTGAATAGCCCACGAAGGTGGAGGTGCCTGAAGCAGGATTGCTTTCCCAGTAATAGGATGCTCAAAAGATAAACTTTCTGCATGAAGATCATGGCCATCATATCTGCTGCCTTTCCAATCATAGACACCTTCATATCTTACATCTCCTCGTATAGGAATTCCAAGATACTGGCAGTGCAAACGAATTTGATGCGTTCTTCCGCTTCGAGGGCGTGCCCTGACCAAAATCTCATCGTTCTTCGAGTCACAACCAATGACTGATTTCTCTTGAACTATGACTACTGCTTCATCTTTTTGCAAGTCCGAAACCTCTTTAAAACATTCACTGTTCACTGATAATACTTCGAAAGAGGTCTCCATGTCTTTAACAAGTGATCCACCAGGCAGTTTCCTGCCCACATCTGAAGCCGCATAAACACGCCAAGCTCCATATTTTGATCGGCCATGACCTGATTTAACAGTTATTTTTTCCCATTTTGGAGCAAGCCCAACACAGAAAGCCAGGTATGTTTTCCGCACCTTATGGTCTGTAAATGCTTTTACAAACTTAGCTGCTACTTTGTGCAACTTAGTAATCAGCATCACACCACTCGTATCACGATCAAGTCTATTAGCTAAATGAAGCTCGGAAACATTAGCCCCTGAAGATATTAAAAGTGGTGGTTAAAACGCAAGGAAACCTCACAAGTACCCAAGTGGCATTTGTCAGTTTATTTCTTCACTTAAACATAAGATGATTAAAATGTCTGTTTCACAGTACAAGTTCCGGACATCCATAAGTCCCGGCCATGAACTTCATTCCTCTTCTCTCCCAAAACCATCTTTAGGCATTTAAAAGCCTCTATTTGATTATACATGGTGAATAAACAGAAGTACAAGAGTTATACCTATCAAGCAAGATTTATTATGTATATCATTCATCAGAAAAACAACTAGATCATCTGTTTTCCTTCCTTCCTGGATAAGAAAGGACGGGGTAATTTATTTGAATACCTTTTCTTTTTGAACTGGTAGTGTATTTCACTACTTGTCGGCAAACTCAATGCCTAGTTCTTTCATATAATGAGCTACAGCACATTGTTGCCACTGTATAAATAGTTTTGATAACAAGATCCCCTGTACCTTGTGTGATAACACTAGATAGGATAGGACTAGAGGCAAAGTAACTAATTCTATCAGAATGCTGGTTCTTATATTATCTTTCCGGAGTGGGAGTAGGTGGAGACTCTTAGGGGCCATTTGGTTCATGGACTAGTTATACGAAGATTATAATACTTAATAAGAGGATTATTATACGACAAATAATAATAGAAGGATCATTACATAGAAATACATAGATTCTCATGCGGTGAATAATAATACATGGATTGCTATGTGATATATAAGAATGCATGTATTGTTATGAGGAGATCACAATATACGCGCATTTTTTTGTTGGTAAGGAACAATAGACGTGCATTCTTATTCTACGTTCTATCTTGTGTAAAACAACAAATTCCCATATAAGTTATACAAAGCTTTACATTAGAGACCAAAACGTGTTTTAGTAATAAAGAGCAGTATTAGCAAACGTAGAGTTTTATACTAAAAACCAATGTTTCATAAAGCTTTATGGTCAGATTAGTTTCTATTATATGACAAACCAAACAAGTCTTGAGGTTTTAATTCTGTATGGGGTAAAATTGGTTGATGACAGTTGGTCGAATGGTGAGGTGACATGTGGAACCGAAGGAAGGAGGAAAGTGAACCAACACATAGTTGTCATTGGATGCGGGTGTGTGATTGGTGCAGGATGAATCCCGAAGGGAATGTGAGCTGAGAATTAAGATTCAAAGATATGATATCGGATAGCATTTAATGAGCCGTCATTACAGAGAATATCATCGTTCAAAACCAGTCGTTATGCACCCATCAACGGCGATTTTATTCTTATTCAAGAGGAGCATGATTTTAGGATCTAGTCTCCCTAAGTAAGGCTATAAATAGGAAGATTAACATCCATTATAACACATGAAATTTCTTGTACAAAAAGGGCTATACTCTATCGCCATATACTCAATTTTAACACTCGAACATTATATTCATCCTTGCCACCGGAAAAGGCTAAAGTCCTTAGTCAGGCTTGTTATCTTCTTTGATTTCATTTGATAATCTTATTTCTGTTTTCATTTACTTATTGGTTTTGAGTCAAATCGATTCGCTTGTCTATAAACCACGCTATAAATTCAAATGGACCGTTTTATGGATAAACAAATTCAATTCTAGCCTATGTGATTAAACATGAACTAGTGAATAAAACAATCCAATAACCAATATATACTCTAGATTATCTTTATCAAAGCCGCAAATGCGTCATTGTTATCAAACCTCTCTTGAGGCGCGGTAAGACCTTGAAACTAGGTGAAGGACACTTTGTCTTGCTTAGATAGCGATTTAATGCGATAAACAAAGGCATTGAAGGCATACGCCCGTTCACGGCACAATCGGTCTTTAATACTCCTAGTAAAGAATAACTAAATAATAAATATGTTAGTAAATTGCAAATTTTTTAATCCAAATGTTATCCGTGAGTTAATTTTCTCCACTTCAAACTCCAGATATTACAGAAAACAACCAAAAATTAGCCGCAGCGTAAAATAAAAAAAATAAAAAGATGAAAGAAACCTCACCAGTGTCATTAAGTAAAGCAGGGAGCGAAGACAAAACACTCTCACAGTAAACTCCTTGGGGCTTATTAACCGCTATGAGCCATTCGTCTTCAAAGATAACATGGCTTCTAGAAAGAGTAAAAAGAGCGGATTTTGAAGAAGCAGTTAACGCTCTATGCGGCTCTATTTCCTTAGATATGTCAGGCATTGGCGGAGATAATGGAATTGGATAATCTGTGGTTGCCGCTGTGGCTGAATCAAAGTAGCTGCTGCTTTGGTTCGCCATGATGGAGATGAATCGACGGTGTCGGAAAATTCTGCCAGAGCAATTGAGCAAAGGTATTTGACCAAGAGGGAACTTTACTGTCATTTTTTCCCTAACATTTACCAATACTACCCTAAAGTTACTGCCTAAAGTTTTTCAGTTAAGTGTATTAATAGTATTATATAAAATTAAAGTTAAATTAATTTTAATATAAAAATATTTCGCTCTTTTTGAAACAAACTAAAAATAATTAGTTCACATAAAACATAGAATAACACAATTGTTTGCTCAAAAAATGTTACACATCTTACGAGTACAAAACAATATAAATAAATCCCGGGATAATTATAGCAAATCGTAATAATCCGTTGGACCAAATGAAAGAAACGAAAATAAGAACTCAGAATTAGGGGGAGAAGCATTAGAAACCTTTATTGATAATATTTGTTTGGTCTACCTCTCCATGAAGAGGTTCAGAGCCTTAAAATGGTGTTTTTCTCTTCCCATAAGAGGGGTATATTTTCTCGTTTCTCTCTCCTCTCACTAATGGTGAAGAAGCCCCCCTTTTCTAGGGTCCCTTCTCTTGGTATTTATAGCTGTGGGCTTCGTGAGCTGTCAATAAGTGGCCGTGACCACGTTGAGATCTCGCCTTTATAGTGGCGGATAGGCCAGGGCCTTTGTTGACCGAACAGGGGCGGGTTGAACGTCGTCAATTATTAGTGGTCGTGCCACTAATTAATCGTGAATTAACTTAAAACGGGATTAGCCTCGTTAATTATCGTGGGGTCGGATTCTGACCCATACAGTTAGTCCCTCCGCTTATCGAGGTCGTGTTTCGGCCGAGCTCGATGAGCGGACTTCATCGATTGTGATTTGAAAACAATTCGAATAAGGGGGTCGACTTATTGGCGGCGGTGGCCTTAGCCGTTTACACGTTGGAGATGGCCGTAGCCTTTCGTACATTAAAGATGGTCGTAGCCTTTCACATATTGGAGATGGCTGTAGCCTTTCGTACATTGAGGACGACCGTAGCCTTTCACCTATTGGAGATGGCCGTAGCCTTTCATATATTGGAGATGGTCGTAGCCTCTCATATATTGAGGATGGTCGTAGCCTTTCATATATTGGAGATGGTCGTAGTCTTTCATATATTGAGGATGGCTGTAGCCTTTCATATATTGGGGATGGCCGTAGCCTTTCATATATTGAGGGTGGTCGTAGCCTTTCACATATTGGGGATGGCCGTGGGGAATGAGTATGCGCCGGGTACGTATTTGGTCAAGTCCAAAATTTTAACGGCGTACGGCACATTCTTTCAGTGTTCGCAGGTAGTAGCGATTGTTCTGACGGCGGTATGCTGGCGGATGGCTGAGAAGCCGCTTTGCGGAGCTCGTCATAATGACGCTTGCTACGACAGAACCGAACCGTTTTACGGTTGGTCGTGCAGTTAATGATGGCTATTGGGTTTCGCAAAAGCCATTTATGTTGCCTATAAAGGTGGGTTGAGGCATTCATTTCTCATATCTTCATTGTTCATCTGAGAGAGAGATTCTGAGGAACTTTTTCGTTTCGCTAATTCGTCTTCTCTTTTCTTTCCTTTGATTGTGACTACATTTTTCTTCAGTAGATCGACAATGGCAGTCAGTTCTTCCCATGGCGCTCTTCCGGTAGATTTTTCGATAGTTGAAGGGCCATCTCCGGCAATGGGAGGTGCAGAACAGATGGAGTCCGGCGAAATTCCGTCGGTTGATGAGGTGGTTCCTCGGCCCGGAGGTCTGGCGATTGATTTCACCGTCGACGGTGGAGAGGAACCGGTGGATGAAGCCCCGTTGATGGGGGAGATCGTGATGGCCCGATTGCGGGAGCAGGGGGTCGTTCCTACCCATGCAGACATCGTTCTCGCTAGAAGCGAGGAGAGGGTCCACACCGACCGCAGGGGATACTGCGTTTTTACGCCTATCCTTTCAGGTTGGGGTTCAAGATCCCGCTCCCAATGCTGGTGGTGGATTTCTGCCGTTATTACGGGGTGTGCCCGGGTCAGCTCACTCCTTCCCTCTACAAATTGTTGGCGATGTTCATCAAGTACGCGGAATTGGCCCGTAGGGAGGTCACGCTGCAGCATGTGCTGAGTCTCTACGCTCCCCAGAGAGTCCGTGGTGCCATGATTCAGGCGTGCCCTCGTGGGTCGAAGGGCCTGGTCATGAGATTGGATGACGAGGTCGACCCCCTCCCTTTCGAGCACTTCTTTTATATCAGGACCAAGCACCTGGTGGCGGATGCTACTGGGTTCCCAGAGGCTTGGAACCATGCACGTAAGTTTTTTAGTGGTTGAATTCTCTTTTCTTCCCCGCTTTATGATTTGTGCTTATGAGCGTTAACTCGTGTCTTTTTTGTAGCCGACAGGTCGCCGCCGCCCCCATTGTGGGTCGAGGCCGTACTCCCCCATACGAGGGGTATACGTACGTGGGCGTCTTTCTGGGAGAGGCATGGCCGTAGGCCCGTGGCAGGTAAAAAATTGATCTTTTCTTCTGTTCCGCTTTGTTTTAGCTCTATTCATTGACCTTGTTTTCTTGTGATTAGGGAGGGCACGCCGCGTCAGGGCTCCTCAGTTGGCCTTCCGTCGGCCTGGTGCAGTTGCTCGGCTTACTGCAGCGTCGGTGTCGCGCTCAATACCGAGAGCGGCCTCAGTTGAGTCTTCAGCGGTTTCTTCTCCATCATGGACCCGACTTCGGGACGAGGGGCCATCGGGGGTTGTGCGCCCTAGAGCGGAATCATCATCAGATGGGGAGGAGGAGAGGCCGTTGATAAGGCGTAGGGTCGCGTTCGCGCCGGCTCCTCCTGTGGTAATTAATTTGGACTCCCCGCTGGCGGACACGGAGAGAAGTGCGGCTGCGGCGCCTGCCCTCGAGGGCGGACAAACAATGGGGGTTGCCCCTGTTGGCTTATGCTGTGATGATATCGTCGCTTCGGCGACTCACTTGGTGGTTCCAGTCGCTGAGACGGGAGGTAGTTCCTCAGCGGCTGCTAATGTGGGTGAGGATGAGTCTGAATCCGACTTGGATCCCGACGACGTCCGTATGTTCCAGGAAGGCTCCACCAACTCAGCGGTGCGCGCAGAGGGGCGATCTCGCTTTATCGAGGTTCCCACGGGATTGAACTTATTGCTCCAAGGGGAAAGCTTGATGCCGCAGTTCGAGCTGCTGTGCTCGGAAGCCGAGAATGCGTCGCTGAGGGGCGTTACGGATGTCGGGCTGATGAATGAAGTAGCCGTGATGGGCTTGAGGGTATGTACTGTTACGTCGGTTCGCTTCTTCTTTGCCTTAGGTTTATTCTTTTATTCT